TGAGCCTCGGAAAAGGTCAGGGTCACACAGTGAGTGAGTAGATCTGAGGCTAAAATGGACTTTTCTGTTTATCATATTGTTTACTGAATGCCTGTAATATGCCTTAGGTACACAAGAGATCTTGTTCTGTGCCCCTCCTTGGGGCGGTGGGAGCACACAGAACAGGCCAGAGGAGGAGTTCTGCTCCCTCTATGCTCCCTCTGTGATTTGGGAGCATGCAGTTCTTAGTAAGAATCCCCACTCTTCTGATTGTTACTAGTCTTGCCACCATTCCTCATTGCTAGCACTTGTCCCCTCTGTGAGAGGGATGGGTTGGGAGGGGAAGAGAGGGCACTTAACATCTGATTACAGAGGCAGAGTGTGTAATAAATGCTCTACTCTCCTAACAGGGCAACTTGCTTCTTTTATATCCCTTTCCTCCCTGTCAATCTGTGATTGGATCTCAGGAGGTGAGTTGAGTCAGACATTGTTTTCTGAGGGCCTGTTTCCTGCTCATTCACTAAAGATTTGTGAATGAAGCAGCACTTCCACCCTCAGGATCTTACGTTATAGTTCGGGGGGAAGTGGCAGTGACACACCCCATGTAACATATTAGTAAATATATTTTATGATACTAATATGTAAGTATATGTATACACACACACATTTTTATATATGAACATACATTAAAAAAAGATAATTTCAGAATGCCTCACACAAATCTTGCGGGCACTCAAGCCTTTAAGACCTAAAGTCTGCCTGCCTCTTTTTGTAAATAAAGTTTTATTGGAATATAGCCATACTCATTGGTTTATGTATTATATCTGTGGCTGCTTTTGTGCTACATGGGAAGAGTTTTGATTAATTGCAGCAGAAGCTTCATCTTCTGCAAAGCCTAAAACATTCACACTCTGGCCCCTTAAGAGAAAGCTTGCTGACCCCTGCTCAGGATGTCGCAAGCATTGTACTCACGGCATTGTACTCAGGGCCATGGTGCAGCTCCAGACTTAGAAAATAAGGCTTGAGTTGGCTAGCTGATGGACATGGCAGGTGGAGTGGGTAGTTTCTGTCCTGTAGGTGTGGGATCACTGTGCTAAGTCAGGAAGTGTGGCTAAACTTTGATTAGAGGTGGGGAACTTGTGCCTTTAGAAAAGCACTTGTTGGTGTTTTCTAGTAAATGTGAATTGTGGTGATTTAAAAAATTGTATGTTAAAATTCGGAATTAACAAGTGTATATAAATTAGAAAGTGAGAGTTGCTGCTGTCCCCTCAATTCCCACTCTTCAAGGTGTTAAGAGCTGTTAAGAGATGGAGTTTTTTCCCCTCTGAGTATTATCTTCTACTTAGTAATTTAAAACTCTGCTATATTTCAGACCATCTTTTTTTACATTGTGACCCTGAGGTTCACTTTGTTCCCAAATTGTAGTCGGGGTTGTTCAGTTGAATGTTTGTTACATAGAAGATTAACGTGTGAAATATTTCAGAAGAGATTTTAATAGACACTTTCCTGTCAGTTGATGAGTTGACATTGTTTTTCTAAATAGTTTTAGAATTAGGCTTTTTATGACAAATATTAAAGGACTTTGTACTGTATTACTGGTATTTTAAATGTTTACAAATTTTCTTAAAAATTCTTGTTCTGGTGGAGGGGGTCTCAGAATCACCTGAGAAACTTCAGAAAAATGCTCATGTTTGGTCCCCATTTCAGGCCTAGCAAGTCCAAAACTCTAGAGGTCAGGAGATCATCTACTTTTTAAAAGCTCTGCAAGTGAGCTATGGAGTCGATAACACTTTTTATAACAGAACTTTGTTTTTATAGTAAAAATTTGTGGGAAATAGGAAGGTTTATCCTGAAATATTACAGGTTTGAATTATATTTCTAGTACAGGTCATGATTTATGCTGAAAAAACTTGTATATTTTGTTTAAACTCAAATATTGAGCAAAGGAGGGAAATACATGTAAAACAAAGCATTTAATTTTTTTTTTTTTTTTTTTTTTGAGGCAGAGTCCTACTCTGTTGCTAGGCTGCTAGGCTGGAGTGCAGTGACACAATTACGGAGCACTGCAGTCTCAACCTCCTGGGCCTAAGTGATCCTCCCATCTCAGCCTCCTAAGTACCTGGAACTATAGGCATGTGCCACCATGCCTGGCTGATTTTTAAATTTTTTGTGGAGATGAGGTTTTGCTATGTTGCCCAGGCTGGTCTTGAACTCGTGAGCCCAAGCAGTCTGCCTGCTTTAGCCTCCCAAAATGTGGGATTACAGGCGTGAGCCACCATGCGTGGACCTAGGAATTATTTAATTTGATTTGAAGAGTTATATCATTTTTCCCCTGCTTTATACTTTTGTACCTCTTCTCCAAGAAAAAAGTCTACCCTCTCAAAAACCAAAAACACATTTCTTAACTTCTGGGAGGTAGTTTTGTTTGTATTAGTTCAAGTCCATACTGGAATACATTTGACCAGTGTTTTCAAGCTGAGAAATGACATTTAAGTATTTATTATCATTTACAGGTAGATACTAATTTCTGTATTTACTAAGGTAAGCTAACTGGTTTAATGAACACACCTAATATTTCAGTGGTTTAAATCAGTAGAATTTCTTGTCATATAATAGTCCAATGACTGTTAGTACAGTGGGATAACAGCTCTGCTCTACGGTTATTCAGGCTCTGAACTGTGGGCATTTTTCCTATTTTAAATTTAATAGCGTCCAAAGGTCATCCTGGGTTTTGGCATTCATTGAATGGGGGAAGAACATGGAGGTTTTCACACGTAATTCTTATGGGTCAGGCGTGGTAGTGGCACACATCACTTCTGTTGACATTTCATTAGCTTGGTCTTAGTCACATGGCCATGCTAACTGCAAGGGAGGCTGGAAATGTAGTCTAGTTGACTCGGGAAAAAAATGCCTTTGGTTATCAGTCTCTCATGTGGTCGAGGTAAACAACATCAGCAAGACATTGACTTCTCTCTGGGCTATCTAATTATTTCTTTTTTGCTTTTCCTTTTCTCATTTTCCCATATTTTTGCAATTACTCTCCACTTTACCCCATAAATACCCTCTTTTTGAGGTGATGCCCCTCATTCTTCACTTACTTGTGATAGTCAAGTCTCTCGGATGCAGACAACAGAAAGCCATTCCTGGTGGGAGTTGGGCATAAAACAAATGTAATGGAAGGCTATATGTTAACCCATAGAATTGATCGAAAGCTAGAAACTATGCTAGAAAAATAAGTAGGGGCCAAAGCAGGTGGCAGCAGAGGACACAGGGTCGCAGCAGAAGACCAGTCTGCTGCGGATCCCACACCTGGCACTTGTGCAATGCATTGCTGTGTAAGCCTCAACTTTCCTGCCTCCACTGTGAATATTCTCTTACTGTCCCTGCATCTTGGCAGCAGTGAGCCCTCAAGACTCCAAAGTCTGAACAGGAGCGTGTGATTGTCTAAACTTTGGTCACTAACAAAGCCCTGGTTACCAGGGGGGTAAGGTAGGAGATTTGTTAGTTTGGCTTTTGTACTTGGTGGCATGGCTTTTTTGCCTTGCATGATTCTCATGAACTGGGAAGAGTGTTCAGATACCAAATGGTCAAAAAATGACAAATACCTATGTGGGAACCTTTTTCATTAGGAGAAATAAGTTGTGGTATAAGATGGGAGACTGTGTTCCAATCTCGATTTTTATCACCAACCTTTTGGAACAGGTTGTTAAACCTCTGGGTTGCAAGTGCCTCCTCTATAAAGTGAGGTGGGGGAACTAGATGTCTGACGATGTCTGTTCATTTACTCATGCATTGAATAAATATTTATTGACTGCCATTTATGTGCCGACACAAAATAATTGAGTATCACACCCTTGCCTTCCTGTATTTGGGTGAGTCAGCAGAGAAGTCATTCTGATACTGTTAGGATGAAGTGCTCAGATATTCCAGCCTTGGGCAGGGGGTGTAGGAGCTTGTGAGAGTCCCAGTCCAGCCTGGGCGGAGAGTGTTGGAGTAGGGGATTCAGGGACCACTCTCTGCTTCTTTCACTCATTCGTTTAGTGTTTCCTTTAAGCCTTTGCATTATTGTTGTTATGAGAATACAAAAATAAATGAAACCAGTCCTTCCCTCCACAGCACTAATTGTGAGAGCATGCTGATGGCTTTAGCAGGCAGTATGCTTGCTATGTTGAGATAAGAGCAGAATACAGTCATGCACCAAATAACATTTCAGTCAATGTTGGACTGCATGTATGACAGTAGTCCCCTAAGACTGTAATGAAGCTAAAAAATTCCTATCACCTAGTGATGTCTTGGGATCCTTACCCAAGGAGGCCTAGGCTTATATGTGTATGTGTATCTTAATTTTTGAGAAAAATGTTTAAAAAGTTAAAAAAATGAAAGCTTACAGAGTAAGAATGTAAAGAAAAAACATTTTTGTACAGTTGTGCAATGTGTTTTAAGCTGTTACTACAAAAGTTAAAAAAATTAAAAAGTATATAAAGTAGGCTAAAGTTAATTACTGAAGAAAACAAGCTTTAAAATAAATTTTGTGTAGCTGAAGTGTACAATGTCTATAAAGTCTACCGTAGTAGACAGTATCATGTCCTAGGCCTTTGCATTCATTCACCCGTCTCTCCCCCATTCCGTCCCTCCATCCTTCCCCCACCCATTGCAACTTCCAGTCCTGCAAGCTCCATTCCTGTAAGCACCCGAACAAGTTATCTTTCGTATCATATTTTTATTGTACCTTATATCACAAATAATGAGGGTTACAGTTGCCCTCCTTATTCAGCACAACTGAACAGGTTTGCAGCCTAGGAGCAGTAGGCTCTACCATCCAGCATGAATGTGCAGTAGGCTCTACCATCCAGCGTGAGCGTGCAGTAGGCTCTGCCATCCAGCGTGAGCGTGCAGTAGGCTCTGCCATCCAGCGTGAGCGTGCAGTAGGCTCTGCCATCCAGCGGGAGCGTGCAGTAGGCTCTGCCATCCAGCGTGAGCGTGCAGTAGGCTCTGCCATCCAGCGTGAGCGTGCAGTAGGCCCATCCAGCGGGAGCGTGCAGTAGGCTCTGCCATCCAGCGGGAGCGTGCAGTAGGCTCTGCCATCCAGCGGGAGCGTGCAGTAGGCTCTGCCATCTAGGTTTATGTCAGTGTACTCAGTGATGTTCTCACAGCCGTGGAATCGCATAACAATGAATTTCTTTAAACATATCCTCATGGCTAAGTGACAGGTAAGTGTTCTAAGGGAAGAATGGAGTGGGGGACCAGTTCCCTGTAAGATTCTGAGGTTTCTTAGAATGACGTTTGATCCTGGGTCTTGAAGTTTGAGTTGAAGATTTCTAGGAGCAGAAAAGAGGAGGGTGGGGATAGCATGCTAGTTGGAGAGAAGATAATGATGAAGAGCACCGTTAAAGAATGGTGAGAAGGTCGGTACAGTTAAGGGAAAGGATGCCATGGAGGGGACAGGATGGAGAGAAAAGGTGGGAAATAAGACTAGAGGTATAAACACTTAACCTGGGTGCTCTGGGTATTTAAAGTATTATAAAGTATTGATGATTTTGAGTTTTTTTTTTTTTTTTTTTTAAGGGACATGAACTTTGACAGCAGTATGGGGAATACACTGAGGGAGGGCATGGAGCCTGGATGAGGAGCAGTTACTGTAGGGGATTCCCCCGGCCCCTTTTTAGATTAAGATCTTGACAGAGTATGGAAATAAGCAGCTGGATTCTTGAGACATTCCAGAGGCCAAAGTCACAGAACGTAGTTAGATTGATGGGGGTTGAGGTAAAGGGGGTGGGGAGGTGGAAGTAAGAGAGCGAATTAAGATTGAGGTTTCTAGCTTGAGTGGATGGATGGGTGGAGATGCCATTTATAGAACTGGGTCAAACTTGGCGCTACTGCCTGCTCCCCAGCCTGTGCAGACACGGTTAAATATAGCATGCGGTGCTTTCCAGCTGAGGCTGGAGTTAGCTTTGGAATATTTTCTGTAACAGTGAGTGTTCCAGACAGCCATTGCCAATCTATTTGAGTTTGTACTGGAGAGGAAACCTGTTTGCCTTCCCTGTCATAGGAGATGGGGAGGGGAAGGGGAAAGGGAAGGGGAGCAGGGAGCAGGGAGAGGAATCCCACCTACACTAGTCCTTCTTTTCCCTGCGCTGTTTTCTTCAGAACACATCATTTTTTGATCTCACATTCCTTTGTTTTTTTTTGCCTGAGGATTCTGCTGTGCCCAGTAAAATACAAACTCCAGGAGGCCTGAGATTTGGCCCATAATTTTTGCATTTATGCCTTTAATGTTAAGAGCGTTGTCTAGAACAGCACTACCAATAGAAATATAAGCCACTTGTATAATTTAAAATTTTCTAAGAGCCACATTTTAAAAAAAGTAAAAAGAGGCCTGAAGTTGTGGCTTACGTCTATAATCCCGGCATTTTGGGAGGGCAAGGCAGGTGGACTGCTTGAGGCCAGGAGTTCCAAGACTGCAGTGAGCTGTGCTTGCACCATTGCACTTCAGCCTGGGCGATGGAGGGAGAGACCCTGTCTCTTTAAAAAGAAAAAAGTACAAAGCAACAGTAAAATTAAATTTAAAATATATTTTATTTTACCTGGTGTTTCCAAAACTTATTTCAATTTATAATAAAAAATATTATTGAAATATTTTACATTTTTTGTTGCTAAGTCCTTAATCTTCTTTTTTCCATTTATAGTACATCTTAATTCTGTGTACGTACATTTCAAGTATTCAGTAGCCACATATGACTGTTGGTGACTGCATCAGACAGTGAAAGTCTAGAGTATAGTAGGGGCTCAGTAGATGTTTGTTGAATGAATGAAGGAGAGGAAGATGAGTTGGTTGTTAAAGGTTGTGTGTAGAATCGAGGAAGGGTTTTGTTCTCACAGTGAGGCAGGAGCATATTTTTATGTTTAAGACAGAACTAGGAGAGAGAGAGGAGGAGGTAATAGGAGTCAGCACTGACTGATGGTGGAAAGCCTGAGCAGGTGATTGGTCCAGGGGTCTGTAGCCAGGTAGATGGGAGGAGAGACGCCTTGCTAGTTACTGCCCTGAAGGATAATCCCTGAAGGGTAATCTTCAGTTACATTTTAAGATACTCAACTCCAGTTTGTTTGGCATAAACTTCTAATTGAAATGTATTGTAACTCTTCCTTCCCCACATTTTAGGTGCTGGTTAATTGAGGGTCATTTTTAAAGTCTTGAGGTGTTTCCCTAGAGACTTAACAAACAAAAGGAAAAGAAAAGTCTCTTTTTTTACGTAAAAATTAGGAAAAGTCTTATTGGTGTATCTTAACATCTTTACTTTGGTGTATCACTCAGCTAGAAAAATAAGTACTTTCTATAGTAAAAATTAACTTATTGAATCTGATTTTTAACATTATTATATTTGGAGTTGTATACATTATATATTTTGCAGTCAATATAAAATAAGGTTATTTCCCCACAGTCGTCCCTCAATGTTTACATACTTGACTCCTTAATCTCCTACATAGTCTTTCATATTGAGACATAGTCTCCTTTTTTTTTTTTTTTGAGACAAGGTCTCACTCTGTTGCCCAGGCTGTAGTACAGTAGTGTGATCACAGCTCACTGCAGCCTCAACCTCCTGGTCTCAAACGATTCTCCCACCTCAGCCTCCCAAATAGCTGGGACTATAGGCATGTGCTACCATGCCCGGCTGATTTTTAATGTTTTTGTGGAGATGGGATCTCCCTGTGTTGCTCAGGTTGGTCTTTTAACTCCTGGGCTCCTGAGCCATCCTTCTGCCTCCACCTCCCAAAGTGCGGGATTGTACATGTGAGCCACCGCACCTGATCTCCGTTACTTTGAGTAACAGAGTCCTATTTGAGGTTGACACATAGACATGGGGCACCCTCTGTGTCAATAGTAGTTTTGGATGCTTATGGAGGTCACTTGATGGAATGAGTCTAAAAAGTGAAGCAATAAAATGTAACAGATATTTTAGGTTATGACCTCACATTTTCAGGTAATGGTATTCTAAATCTTTGGAAAGATCATTTTAAAAAGTACTGTTGTAAGTGAAAATAATTAACATACCTATTGGGTTAGTGGAAAACACCACCTTTCTAATGTTAAAAAATTTTATCTCATTGTTACTTGACATAAAATATCCAGTTATAGTATTTTACAGGAATTCAATAAGTGTATCTAAAACAACTTAGAACTTAAGATTATGTGCTGCAGAAAACCAGATGACTTAAACAGGATTTAATGACGACAAAGACGCTGATGTTAAAGATGGAGTACGCTTTCTACTATATTGAGAGGGGCACCTCATACAGACAAGAGATTTTGATAAGTGAGATTGATCTTATCTCTTTGCTTTTGGGACAGCTTTGTATTCCTGAGTGTGGTGTGCTCAGCCAGATGTGATAATGTCAAAGCCGGAAGTGACTGGAGAGATGGTTATTCAGGGGTGGTCACCTTTTGTTTTTCTGCCCCAGCATACTTGAGCAGGTTAGGTTACATTCTGGCAAAAAACAGGCTTCCAGGACAATTCTTGGGAGATGGGGGAGGGAGAGAGTGGTGTATATATTTTGAAGAGACCTTAACTACACAGTGATTCTACCCGTGTGTGTGAGGGGCAGGACTGTTTGAACAGACGGCATGTCTTTTTCCAGTGTCATGGAGTTAACCTTAGAGCTGGGACTGGAACCCTGGACTTGCTTCTTGTGCCAGTTTTAATTTTCTCAGTCACACCCTTTTCTTTCCTTTTATTGTTTTTGTACCCTTTTTTTCTATTTTCAATAGAATTTTAAATGTCATATGCTTAATAAATGAAAACTGCTGATATAAATCAAGAAGCAGTCTTTAAATTTTAAATGATGGTACATTTATGGGGACATTATCAACTAATTTAGTTCCTTTTTCTGACTTTTTAAGTCACCTCTTTTTTCCAAATCACCGTGGCTTGGAACCGCTGAGTCATTCTTGAATCCAGCTGTCTCTTATCTGTCGTTCATATTGAAACAGATTTTAAAGTCCTGTCAGTCTGCTCTCAAATTGTCTCTTCATGCATCTCCTTCCTTTCCTTTTATGACATTTCCCTCAAAGGCTCTCACCGTCCCATGCTTGGACTGGTGCAGTAAGCAACTGATAGATCTCTATTTGTGGTTCCTCCTGCTTCCAGTCCACTTTACACATTCGTTCTGTCATTTAGCATTTGCCATTTGCCAGGTACCATTTTAGACATTAACTCTTTACTGTTCTTAATACCTTGAGGTTTAAGTACTGTTATAAACCCATTCTGCAGATGGAAAGGGAACCATGGATTTAATTGATTTACCCAAAGTGACACAGAAATTGGTAGCTAGCTAGTAAATGGCAAAATTGAATCCAGACTCCTTATGTTGTTAATTCCTATAGCTAAACATGAAACTGGAGTTGTGCCACTCCTTGCACACTTTTATCTGGCACTCTCTTAGGCTGTTTTACAAAATCCCATGTTTTAGCTTGCCATTCTTTTGGCCCAGCCTGCCTTTCTAGCCTTAACTTACCCCTCTGTCTATATTCTACTTTCTAGCCAAATGTGAGGTGACGTTTAAGCTGCTACTTGAAAGAGAAGTGGGAGTTAGGCAGAGCAGTAAGGTAATGTTTGGGGAAGAGTGAAGGGTGTACTTGAGAGAGTGTGGAGGTCCCTTGGAGGAGCTGGAGCCTAGAGGTGCCCCATGAGAACAACATAGGAAGCTGCAGGTGGAGGTGGGTGCCCTGTTGTAGAACGCTTTCTGGTTGTCTTCCACAGGACATTTTTGGGAGCTATGCACAAGATTCATGGCTACCATGTTGCAAACTTTAAGTTCATTTTTCCTGGACCTCCTTATTTAATTCCCCTCTCTCTTGGTCCAGTCACCCGTTTGCCAGTGTTCACGGATGGTGAGAGCAGGCTGTTTGGAAAGAACGTCCTCAAGCAGGGTGCTGTTTCCTAACCCTGTGTCTCTTTCCCCTCTGAGATGAGTTTCATTCACTCACAGGTGTTCAACAATCTTGTCTTTTATGGGGAGTTTCTAATGTGTTTTGAGCACTTTCCCACCCCTCCTATCTTGGAGGCATGGTTCGAGTGGAAAAGGGCAAGGGCCCACCTGCTTCTGGCCTTCCCACCTCAGCCACCATGCTTAGGGCTGCGGTGGAGTGCTTGACCTCTTTCTGTGTACAATGCAATACATGTTGGAATAATGCCACTTAATGCATAGGGCTTTTGTGGGGGTAAGGGCATACTGGAACAGGTTGGCATAGATTAAGAGTTCAGTGAATGTTGTCACTACTTCTTACTACTTTTTAATTGTGAAAAACTGACAATTTCTCTAATAAAGGGTCATAGAAACCTGCTTTATCCATACTGTTGTTATTGAGAATACTTTCTGGTTTGGAAAAATTTGCTTGAGAGGTAAAAAGAAAGTTAATTGATTAATTAATTAATTTATTAGAGACAGAATCTCGCTCTGCTGCTCAGGCTGGAATGCAGTAGCACAATCCTGGCTCACTGCAAACTAACTCCCAGGTTCAGGTGACTCTCTTGTCTCAGACTCCAGAGTAGCTGGGACTACAGATGCATGCCACCACACCTG